TTACCGTACATCTACCGTACATCTACCGTACATTACCGTACATCTACTGTACATATAGCCTCTTGTTCATCAGGGTGCACCGCGTTTTTTGGGCACCGGCCACAACTTTTTGGACGGACCACCGCGATCAAAATTTTTGGACGGACCACCGCCGTCAACTTTTTTGGACGGACCACCGCCTTCAATTTTGTGGACGGACCATCACCTTCAATTTTTTGGACGGACCACCGCCCAGCGTGTTCCTAACACACAGATGTAGGTCATTGTGTGTGTTCTGTTTTTCTTATGCGTTTTGATGGTTTAAAGTAGAAAGTGTTTTTCTTTTAGCACGGTGGTGGTCCACCGAAGAAATTCGAAGCGCATTTTTTGTTTTTTTGTTTTGCTTTTTGCTTTTCTTCAGCAAAGCGGCGCGGTGAGTGTTCTACATTAAAAACCCTTGCAACAGCAGCGCTTTCCCAGATAAAAAGCATAGTTTTTCGATGTCCTTCGGTTTGGGCCTTGCTACTGGGAAACCTGAAAAAGCATAGTTTTTGAACATCAAAAATCACCAATTAGAACTTATAGAACTTAAAAATAGTTACATTTAAGTTACATCTTTCTTACGAAGCCCTCCAGCTAACTTAGTTTTAAGTAATTTGTAACTTCACCAAGTAAGTTACAAGTGTTTTAACTAGGGGGGCCCATCTTTGTATGGCATGGCTTTGATGGCTTGATCAGTATTGAATCCAGGTCCAATTGGTAGAAGCATGTAGAAACGGTTTCCAAAAACAATTATTAGTGGGGATCGACTTGTTCATCAACTTAGGGGTCTACATCAAGATGCCCGCAGGTTTGGAAGATGATGTCAGTCACCCGAAGCCGAGACCGGCTAGTTACAAAAGGCACTCTTCGGCGCTCCGTCCCAGGTGAAAAGCACTTGTTGCACGGAACGTCCCCGAAGCACCTGCTGGACATCCTCGACCAGGGCTTTAACGACAAGCTGGCGAGCTCGAAGGGGATGTGGCTGGTCTTAAGTGCCTATCAGGTATACGGCATTTTGTGCGAGATATGTCACATGTCTATTTTGTAGTTATGATGAATGCATGGCATGTTTACCTGGCCTGGAATCGTTTCAGTGCATGCAGTACTGAAATCAAAGACGTCAGTTCAAGGGTTGCAGCAAGTGCTCAAAATCCAACGGGGTCCAGGCGCAGGTCGGCGCCACAACAGACTCCGGTGTTCTGTTGGTATTCCATTTTGCCACCACCCAGATCTGCCTTACCACCTTGTCAGACCTTGTCAAAGGGTCTTTGGCACCTGGCGCCAGGTGCGATGGTCCTTGTTTGATATATATATATATACTTGTCCAACGTCTTAAGTATTGTACAGGAGTCTAACAGGAGCTCTTAAGAACTGACCTAATTCAACTGCACACCTGCTTATTACAGGATTTACTATTCCATCATGTTTCTCTTCTCCGGACCTCCCGGATTGCAGTGACCCATGGACGCTCATGATGCTCATGCATGTTTATTCTTCTCCAGTTCACGTCCCAACGTGTACCACGGTCAGACAGAGGGTGGCGCCACTCGTCCCCGGTCGCCACCGGTCGCGCCCGGTCGCGCCAGCGACCGTCCCTCGAGGTTCGGAGCGGGCGCCTACTTCGCCGAGGATCCGGCACCTCGGACGGTCGAGACGAGACGGGGCGAAACAGTCGGAGCCGAGAGAGAAAGGAGACCCGTTGGAAAGACCCGTTGATTCTGGGTACTGTCTTTTTACTTTGGGGGAATCTAAGGTCGAAGCATGGCTAATGAGTTGTGCAAAAGAAGAGGTAACTACCCTAGGGATCCAGTATAGCTCTCAGCGAGTGATTCGATAAGACCACTCTCACAGAATGATTGGCACAAAACCTCCCTAGCACCAACGTGAACTTATAGAAAAGTTCAGCACGGTCCATGACAGTGCTGGTGGGATTCTGGACCAAAGGCACTCTTGCAGGCTCGGGGCCTTTTGCTCATCGCTTCCCTGCTGTCAGTGAAACCATGTAAATGCGTGAAGACAATGTGCATGGGAGTCCTATTGGTGAAAATTGGGTACAAGCCGAGCCCATGCTATAAACATGTGAGTTCACAGAACCTGTTTCATGTTCGATAAGTGTAGCTTCTCTGCCTTTGTGCAATGGGCCTTTTGCGGCAAGCTGCCCTTAGAGGTGCAATCCACCATGCTTCGCCATGCTTGGGCAAGTTTGTGCTTTGGGGCACTTGGGAGTTGTTTGGCATTCTGGCATTCTGAAGCTTTAAGCTTGAGTTTTCTTCTTGTTTATTCTTTGGCAAGTGAAAAGGCACACCAACATCTAGAAACTCAAGAGTTAGAGGATTCCACGATTTTGTTGTCTGTCTTTCATGCGCAAGAAGTCACCCTAACTGCGAGACTCTTTGGCTCAGCGCGTTGTGGTTGCCCTGTGTCCTCGGCCACCATGGGGAAGGGTGCGTTCGTGGTGGAAGAGGAGATAGTTGATGGTGAGATTCATGTCAGCAAGCCCATGAAGTTTAAAGTCTCTGCCCCTGGGCTGCGTCTACTTGAGCTTCAGTCAGTCCAGGGATTGTTTTTATCAGTCTTCGCATGTCTGTGATTGAATACCAAAATTCCCCCCATGCCACATGTTTGGCCGCAGCCATAGTCCTATTGCCTGGATGGTGCATGGGTCATGCATACATTTGCAATGCCCCTCGGATGTATGTTTATGGAAAGTGTGGACCAAGGCTTGTGCGCAGCATCTTTACAAATCCTTGAAAGGCTACACGGAGAAGTATGGCCCTAGTATCATGGCAAACCCTGACAGGAACTTGACGAATTTTGCTGAACGTGACCGGCAAGTGATCACTGAGAACGATTTGGAACAAAACTTTTCCTTGCTCAAAACTCTGGCTGCATCTTGTTTCGAGTATACACTTCACCATGTGGGCCATGTACGTGGGGTCGTCAAAGAAATTCCAAATTTGGCGGAGTTTGAGGCTGGTTGAGAGTTGAAGTAGTTCAGAAATATGCATGTCCACCTGAATGCAAATAAACATACATTGGTTGAGAAGAAACTTTGTCAACCCGTCGCATCCCTGTGTCTCCTTGGAGGCTGCCTTGTTGCTGGTATCACTCAAGTCCAACTTCCATGCCGAGCATCTTGGAAAGCGAGGAGGAAAGACGTTGATTCGGGATCCTTGGCTTGCAGCAGGTCTGCAATGCACAGAGACCCCACAGTTGGTTAGTACATGCCACTAGCACAAAGCGAGTTTTGTGTCTGCAACCCCATGTACTTCCAGCACTTCCGTTAAGGAATGGTCCAACATCGAATCTCAGAGAATGCGAAAGTGCCTGATGTACTTGATTCAACTTACCAACCGGACAAGTGAGAGCAGGACAGGATTGAAAACACTGCAACACCATTTAAGGTACCTTTGTTGTGGTAAATTTGCAAAACATCTTTGATATTCATGTGTTTCATGGCCAACTATATACTCTATTTTGGGAGGAGTGAGAGGGTCCACTGCCTGAAGAACATCGTGACATCGTTCAGGAAGCTTCGAGAGGAGCATGGAATATCAAGATCACTGCAACATTGTCATATACATACTATAACGCACAAGCAGCACTCTAGATCTAGATCTGATTGCCGACTGGATCAGGCTTGGGAAGCCTCGTTGGCCATCCAACCACCCGCGGAGCCAGTGGAGGACTATTGAATTCCGTTGGGAACACATGTTTTTGGTAGGGGTATGTTTGCAGGGTCATGCCCCGGAAACTTGATGGTGCAGCAGGATACGGACCGCTTGGATGTGGAGTTGGATGATGAACCTATCATCGTTGCTGTGATTGGTGAGCCCCGGGTGAAGGTGGAGGGTAGTGCTTTAAAGGAAGAGATGGAGAGTACTACACTGACCATCAAAGAGACTTAGTTTTCAAAGCCATGCAAGCAGCCTCCAAATCTGCAGAGTTTCAATATGCATATATATACATTTTTTATGATCATAAATATATACATATATATATATTATATATATATGTTTGTATATGGCATGTGGTGTGTATAGCTGAGGATGTATGTGTGGCTGCAGAGCCTGTGGAAAGCCACACTGTGGCTGTGGCTGCTGTGGAGACTGTGGAAAGCCACACTACTGTGGCTGTGGCTGTGGAAACCCGTTCTAAGAGCCCAGAGATCGAAGAGGCTTTCTGGACATCGAGTGTATTTGTTTCATTTGAAGCCTGCACCCATACTGTAGTGCTTATTTCTGCCGCAGGTGCCCCCGCCTGTCCAGCAACATGATGTGAAGGCTGTGGACTCACTAATGGCACAAACAATCTTGCTTCAGCAGTACCGCTACATAGCTATATAGCTAGGTCCGCAGCTAGGTGCTTTGGAAATGCAAATATAATCTTGCAAATCTGTGCTGCGTGCTGCAGATGGGCAACGATGATGATCCGGCCTTCTGGACTGACTCACAGCTTCCAGATGACCAAGAACTTCCACAAGGCAAACAAGAGGAGCCTGCTGGGGGGAGCTCTGGTGTTCTTATTGATCTGGATCTCGAGGATTCCCAGCCGGTGGAGGCCCCCCAGTCCATGGAGGACCCCCCTCTGAAAAAACAAAAACAGAGGACCAAACCAGCAGCTGAGAGAGGGCCCTTGATTGCCAACCCCCCAAAGTTGCCAAAATCTGTGTTGCTGAATGCAGATGGTGTGGTGAGTAAGTTTGCTGACTCACACGGCGTGATCAGTCTGAGTGTGGAAGAACAGCGTGAGCTGAAGAAAAACTAGATGAACAAGCCAAAGAGGAAGCAGAAAAGAAGAAACAGGAGAAACAAGACAAAAAGAAAGAAGAAGCTGTCAAGGCTGTGGAAAAGGCAAGAAAAAAGCTGGAAGCTGCACAGGCAAAAGCTGCACAAGTCGAGCAGGAAAGTTCCGTGGGTTCCAGGAGACGTGGTGTAAAGCGCAAGCTAGATCTGGAGTTGTTTGCAGTTTCTGAGCAGAAGGCTCCTCCCCCCAGCCCAGAGCCAGCCCCGAAGAAGCAAGCACAGAAAGCAAGGCAATCCAAGACGAGCCCAAAGCCTGCTGTCAAACTATCCCCGAAAGCCAGGGATTTTGCCGTGAAGCATACCCCCAAAAAGGATGTTAGGCAGGACAGGGCCATTGCTGCGCTCAAGTTGCTTCGGGAGAACTCGTTGAAGGACCTCAAGCTTCCCAGTGAAGACTTTTCAAGGAAGTGGCTTGGGTGCACCCAGTGAATATATACTTGTCAAACAATGTGATTTGCCGTGTCTGTTTCAGAATTTTGGTGAAGTTAGTTTCAGCCTTTGCAGTTAAGGAGCTTCAAAGTCGAGAACCCCCATGGTGGGGGTAGCAACATTGTAGTGATTCTCTACCAAAAGTCCTTTTTCATTGGGAAGGCTTCCGCTGAACGGTGTGAACAGCTCTTGAACAAACCACCTTACCCCACTGGTGGTGCTACGGTGGGCTGGCAGCAGGGATTGGAGAGTGCGTGGACCTGACCCGCTTATGTCACCAGAATTTGGATTCTGCCTTGTTTAAATTTGTTACCATAAACACTATCACATCACCTGTTGATTTCAAAGCCAGCTCTTATATGCTGGCTCCAGTATTGGCTGCCAGGTGGTTGATTGCCAGGAAGATTGCCATGTGGGACAAGTCCGTTGAGCTGGAAAGCGCATCCACGTGATTTTGCAGCTGTAGCATCGAAATGTAGTTTCGGTGGCTTGTGCACAGCTGTTTTGTTAGGGCAGGACGTTGGCTTTTGGGTCTCTGTTTTCAAAAACCGACTATGGTCAATGCCACATTGGTTTCAGCCAGCAGTCCTGCAGGGAAGCTGTGATTGATGACCACTATAGGTCTTTCTCATGTGACTCATGTCTGCAGGATGTTCCGCATCTGTAGCTTTTGTAGTGTGTTAGCCAGCACACCAGGGTTTGCCATTGCAGCTGTGAATTCCAGCTGTGAGGGTGCGGATTAGATCCTCAGTCTTGGATATCACCTATTGGGCTTTGGGGAAAAGCTGTGGGGAGTAGTTAACATGTTCAAGGATGTGGTGCTTGGTCGAAAGCAGTGCGTGTGCTTCACATATTTTTACAGGGTGATGAAACATAACAAAGCCAGGCCATCTCCAGCAATTTCATAATTCATTCGCCGCCGTCGAACGAAAGCCGAGTGTCCTCTCAACGGAAGCTAGCCCACGCAGGCCAAAAATCTTCTGCCTCAAGTGCGGTGGTATCTGTGCAAGGCTGGGCCTGGTGACAGTTTTTCATATCCAGTTTGAAGCCATTATAACAAAGCAAGCCCCCCCACCCCACATGCAGTTTGTTTGATACCAAGCTAGAAGTGTAAATGCTCCACTGTGATTTGCCCGGAGTCATTTGCATGTCTATGAGTGTGCTTGTGCAGGTGACCAAAACCCTTCTGGTGCTGACAAAGGTGCAACCTGCTGTGCACCAGGGATGGTTGGGGGATAGGGACTCACTTGTGGCTTCAAAAACCATGGTGGTGGAAGATGCTTGTCTTGGGGAGTTCGGTGATTCTATATCCAAAGATCGGGATTGCTCTTAACAAAGCATGTCATGACCCTGACCCAACCAGAAAAAATTGCCAAGGAGTTGGACTCCAAATCAAACACG